AAATACAAAGGCCTTTGTGTGAAAGTATGAGAGTGTATTGTGTGTAGAAGCATATGTGTGTATTTGACCTTGGTAAGCGCCTCAACACTGTAAAAAGGTGCAGTGCTCCACGATGTCATGTGCGGCGACACGTCTTGACACGACTTCGCTTCTCGACACAAGATTGTGTTCGGGGACGAATATTGACACGACGTCATAGGCGACGACATTGCTTCATGACACGATGTCGTGGGCGACGACATTGCTTCACTACTCGATGTCGTGGGCGGCGATGTTTCACTACACGACATCATGTGCGACGACGTGCCCTGACACAATGTCATGGGTGACGACATTGCTTCATGACACGTTGTCGTGGGTGGCGACGCTTCTTTACTCGATGTCATCGTCAGTAACGCTTCTTGACACGACATCGTCGGCGCCGACGCTTCACGATAAGACTGTGCTTCTGGACACGACGTCATAGGTGGCAATGCTTCATGACGCGACGTCATGTGCGGCAATGCGTCTTGACACGACTTCATAGGCGACAACGCTCCATGACTAGACTTTGCTTGTTGACACGACGTCGTGGGTGGCAAACCTTCTTGACACGACGTCATGTGCAGCGACGCTTCTTGACACGACATCATCGGCGACGATGCTTCATGACACGACTTGGCTTCTTGACACAAGATCGTGTGCGGCAATGCATGACATCGTGTGCAGCGACGCTTCTTGATACGACGTCATATGTGGTGATGCTTCATGACACGATGTCGTGGGCTGCGAAGGTTCCCTATGTGCGACGACGTGTCTTGACACGACGTCATTGGCAGTAATGCTTCATGACACGACATCGTCAGCGGCGACGATTCATGATAAGACTGTGCTTCTTGACACGACGTCATGTGCAGCGACGCTTCTTGACACGACGTCATAGGCGACGACATTGCTTCATGACACGATGTCGTGGGCGATGACATTGCTTCACTACTCGATGTCGTGGGCGGCGTTGTTTCATGACATTACTTTGATTCTTGACACAAGATTGTGGGTGGTGACGATGCTTCATGACACGATGTCGTGGGCGGCGAGGCTTGATATCGTGTGCGGCGACGCATGACATCGTGTGATGCGACGTCATAAGTGTTGATGCTTCATGACACGTTGTCGTGGGCTGCGATGTTTCACTACACGACGTCATGTGCGACGACGTGTCTTGATACTATGTCATAGGCGACGACATTGCTTCATGACTCGATGTCGTGGGCGGCGATGTTTCACTACACTATATTGTGGGCGGCAACGTTGCTTCCTGACACGATGTCGTGGGCGGCGATGTTTCATTACAATATATCATGGGCGGCGACGTTGCTTCCTGACATGATGTCGTGGGCGGCGACATTGCTTCATGACACGTTGTCGTGGGCGGCGATGTTTCACTACACTATATCGTGGGCGGCGATGTTGCTCCCTGACATGATGTCGTGGGCGGCGACATTGCTTCATGACTCGATGTCGTGGGCGGCGATGTTTCACTACACTATATCGTGGGCGGCGATGTTGTTTCCTGACATGATGTCATGTGCGACGACGTGTCTTGACACGATGTCATAGGCGACGACATTGCTTCATGACACGTCGTGGGCGGCGATGCTTCTTTACTCGATGTCATCGGCAGTAATGCTTCATGACACGACATCGTCGGCGCTTCATGATAAGACTGTGCTTCTTGACACGACGTCATGTGCAGCGACGCTTCTTGACACGACGTCATAGGCGACGACATTGCTTCATGACACGATGTCGTGGGCGATGACATTGCTTCACTACTCGATGTCGTGGGCGGCGATGTTTCATGACATTACTTTGATTCTTGACACAAGATTGTGGGTGGTGACGATGCTTCATGACACGATGTCGTGGGCGGCGAGGCTTGATATCGTGTGCGGCGACGCATGACATCGTGTGCTGCGACGCTTTATGATATAACGTCATAAGTGTTGATGCTTCATGACACGTTGTCGTGGGCTGCGATGTTTCACTACACGACGTCATGTGCGACGACGTGTCTTGATACTATGTCATAGGCGACGACATTGCTTCATGACTCGATGTCGTGGGCGGCGATGTTTCACTACACTATATTGTGGGCGGCAACGTTGCTTCCTGACACGATGTCGTGGGCGGCGATGTTTCATTACAATATATCATGGGCGGCGACGTTGCTTCCTGACATGATGTCGTGGGCGGACATTGCTTCATGACACGTTGTCGTGGGCGGCGATGTTTCACTACACTATATCGTGGGCGGCGATGTTGCTCCCTGACATGATGTCGTGGGCGGCGACATTGCTTCATGACTCGATGTCGTGGGCGGCGATGTTTCACTACACTATATTGTGGGCGGCAACGTTGCTTCCTGACACGATGTCGTGGGCGGCGATGTTTCATTACAATATATCATGGGCGGCGACGTTGCTTCCTGACATGATGTCGTGGGCGGCGACATTGCTTCATGACACGTTGTCGTGGGCGGCGATGTTTCACTACACTATATCGTGGGCAGAGATGTTGCTCCCTGACATGATGTCGTGGGCGGCGACATTGCTTCATGACTCGATGTCGTGGGCGGCGATGTTTCACTACACTATATCGTGGGCGGCGATGTTGTTTCCTGACATGATGTCATGTGCGACGACGTGTCTTGACACGATGTCATAGGCGACGACATTGCTTCATGACACGTCGTGGGCGGCGATGCTTCTTTACTCGATGTCATCGGCAGTAATGCTTCATGACACGACATCGTCGGCGCTTCATGATAAGACTGTGCTTCTGGACACGACGTCATAGGTGGCGATGCTTCCTGACACGACGTCATGTGCGGCAATGCGTCTTGACACGACTTCATAGGCGACAACGCTCCATGACTAGACTTTGCTTGTTGACATGATGTCGTGGGTGGCGAACCTTCTTGTCACGACGTCATGTGCAGCGACGCTTCTTGACACGACATCATCGGCGACGATGTTTCATGACACGACTTTGCTTCTTGACACAAGATCATGTGCGGCGATGCATGACATCGTGTGCAGCGACGCTTCTTGTTTTCCTACACGACGTCATGTCTTGACACGACACGATCTCATAGGTGACGACATTGCTTCATGACACGATGTCGTGGGCGGCGATGTTTCATGACATTACTTTGATACTTGACACAAGATTGTGGGTGATGACGTTGCTTCATGACACGATGTCGTGGGCGGCGACGCTTGATATCGTGTGCGGCGACGCATGACATCGTGTGCTGCAACGCTTCTTGATACGACGTCATAAGTGTTGATGCTTCACTACTCGATGTCGTGGACGGCGACGCTTGATATCGTGTGCAGCGACGCTTCTTGATACGACGTCATAAGTGTTGATGCTTTATGACACGATGTCGTGGGCTGCGAAGGTTTCCTACACAACGTCATGTGGGACGATGTGTCTTTACACGACGTCATGTGCGACGACATTGCTTCATGACACGATGTCGTGGGCGGCGATGTTTCATGACATGACTTTGATTCTTGACATGAGATTGTGGGTGGCGATGTTGCTTTATGACATGATGTCGTGGGTGGCGATGTTTCACTACACAACATCGTGGGCGCCGACACTTCTTTACTCGATCTCATAGGCAGCGATGCTTCATGACACGACGTTGTGGGCGGCGACGTTTCACTGCATGATGTCATGTGCGGCGACGCGTCTTGACACAACATCATAGGCAGCGACGCTTCATGACACGACATCATGGGTGGCGATGCTTCATGACAACATCATAGGCTTCGACACTTCTTGAGACGATTTTGCTTCTTGACATGACATCATGCGTGGTGATGCTGCTTCATGACACGATGTCGTGGGCGGCTACGTTTCATGACTCAACGTCATCCATGACGACGCTTCATGACACTACTTTGCGTCTTGACACAACGTCGTGTATATTTATTTTTTAAATATGGGAAAATTAATGTAGCCAAATTTTAAAATTCCAGTACTGTTTGTGAGCACAAACTACAGACATGGCAAATCAGTAATTGAGTTTGTTTTTTTCCATCACTGGTTTCTGATGAGGTGGTTCATTGGAATTCAGATTATGATTTTTTATCTGAATAAATAAAAGAACAAAATTTGAATCTTTAAACTGTCCTCCTCCCCACGTGTAATATTCATTTTTCTATACTTACCCAGACTTGATACCAACATCTGTACATTTGAAGATTGTAGGAATGCTTCGTACAGATCTGAAGAGCTCTCAAACAACTGAAGTGGAAATAATAAGTAACATGAACTCACGCCCGGGCACACACACACACACACAAAAACACACACACAGAGGAGCTGGAATGGCAGTTTGTCATCTCTGAAGGACATGAGTCTTGTATTGGATCACCCACCCTTGGGGCTTTCTATCTCTCCAATCCCGGCCATATCGAAAGCTGGATTTGAAGCACTGACATTTGCATGGAATAAGAAAACAATTAAAACAATACAGAATCTCATGAAGGTCTTTTGTTTTTTGTGTCAGAACCAAATTAAAAACACACGGCAGCTAGTGTTGTATTTCTGTTCCTTCACACAAAGCTGCAAAGCAAGGAGAACCAGAGAAAAGGCACAAAAAACTTAATGGATTCTACAGCTGATCAGTCTGCAGGCCTTTAAGTACATAATGTTACACTATATGTTCGTAAAGCGACACGAGCTAAACTCACAGATAAAACGTGTGGCTAGTTTATTCTAGAAATGATCAGGTTTATGCAGTGGTAATCAGGTGAGCATCAAAGTGAGATTAAAAACCTGCTGGTAATCTATATGTGATGCTTATAGATGCTTATAATCTCCTATAACAAACATTTGTGAAGGTGGCATGGTGAAACAAACTTTTACGGTTAAAAGATACCTTACTTTAAATTTCTCTGCTGTAGTTCTCTACAAATCCAGGCAAAATGACACAGAAAACACAATTAAAGAGGGTAAATGTTGCTTTACTTTGCAGCAGCAAAACATAAAAGTACAGGTATGACACAAAATAATTGATTCATGATTTGGCTTGTCGAGATCTAAATGTGCCTCAATTCAGTTTAAAGAAGTCATCCAGTAATTGCTCTATTCAGGGCCGGCCCAAAGTTATATGGGGCCTGAAGCAGAACTTGATTTGTGGCCCACACTCCTACTCAGTATATCAGCACAATATTGTTGTAGTCAACTTAATTACAATAATATAATTTTTTCTAATGTTCAATGTAATTTTTTCTGCCTTATGTTATTTATTTTGCTGACAAACCTCCTCTATGATTATAGGTTCCATATTGTGGAGATGATTCCACAATGAAATAGGTTGACAAAGAAAAACTGACATCAAGTTTCTGCCAAGTTGTAGGAGTAAAAAATGAAGACAAGCAAATTTTTAGTCACTTTAAAATTCAGCCACATCACAAACAAAATGTTGGCTGAGGAGTGATGAAGTGTTCAAAATTATATATAATTATATATAATCATATATATATAATTAGTGAAATTGACTGGTGACCAATTGGTGATCAGAAATCTGAAAGAATCCACTGACAGCAACGTTCCTCAAGGGTTCGTGTTTTTTCAGAAGAGTTGAGGTGTTTTGAAATGGAGGAAGCTCAAAAGTGAACAAGCCTTTGGGGTTTTTTCTGTCCCTCAAGTAGTGGAAGGAAGAAACTGACAGAGAACAAACTTTAGTAGAATCTGCGGAGGAGGAACATGTTGCAACAAAGTTGCTGTTTCATCCTTCTGACCTAATCGCACTGTTAGGCTTTGTCTTCTATCTGGTATTGTGTTCATCGTATCTTATTTTTCTAATTGAATTATTATTTGTCGTTTTTGTGTGCAGCACTTTGACCAAGAGCAGTTGTTCTTAAATATAAATCAATCTTCATTTGATTTGATGCTGGATCAGCAGATATTTCCAGTAAGGATAGCCAATTCTAATAAAGAAATAAATTCCAATAAAGTTCAAAATATTAGTGAAGATTATTGTGTTGTGCTGTAGTTTCACAGCTAATGAAGTGAATACACACTGACACTCCTTTTCAACCTAGTAATGCTAACTAGGCTAACCATGCTAATAGCTAACAAAACAGTCAAAAGAATTCAAATCCCTCCATAATCCCTTTTGTTTTTGTTTGTGACTGACAAAATCCTGTTTTACAGCGACTTCTTTCTCTCTCTCACACACACACAGTGTGACGTCACCTCTGCTCTGGACATAAATAATTAGCGACCTTTCCAATCTTTTTTATATGCAAACTAATTTAAATACTGTTTAAAAAAGTAGTCATAAGTAGTTCTCAAAGAAAATCAGACCAAAATTGGTTCTGCAGGTCAAAACACTTTACAAAAATGGAAGTGACCCAGGTATGGAGGCCTTAGTTCAATGACCTTCGCTGCATGTCTTCCCTCTCTCATCGCACACTTTCCTGTATGACAACTGCTAAATAAAAGCCACTAGAGCCGACAAAACGTTTTGAAAAAAGAAATAAAATTGTTGATTGTGAAACGGCCATAAACTGCTGATCGGTGCATCTCTACAAGTCATACAACCTACTGGTGGGAACAAAATGGATTGAAATGTTGAGAGAAATTGTAACATTCTGACACCCCAATAACATTAAAAGCATCCTTCATTTACAAGAGTCACACATCAAGTAAAGTATAAAACACACACACCTGCCCCAGTAAATAGTCCAATGAAACAAACAAAATAAACCCAGACAAATGTTCTTTAGGTTCAAGCAAGTATTCAGCTTTTTACTGTTACTGTCTCTTTAAGTTAGTCACTGTAGTGAGGCTTGACGATGTCATTTCACTGTGGAAAATGTATGTCCTCACATATGAACAACAAATCATTGCAAAGAGCTAAAATACAACCAAACACAATCAAACAGTACAGAGCCAGTGATTTTTATTTCCCGCCAGGTTCAGCGAAGAGCCAGGTCCAAACGGGATGCGCGGTGCAGCCAGGGCTCCTCACATTTGGTTGCGGAAGGAAAACAGAGTGGAGAAGCTGCTGAGGACAACCTGCTGATGAAATACAAGCTCCTCAACCAGTCAGCTGAGCCAGAGGCTGACCCGTCACGTTACGGAGCAGCGCCACATTAAGTCCTCCATCGCAAATCCAGCAAGTCAACAGCGGCGCGTCTCTCCGCTTCCGTTTCCTCAGAATGAGTCAGTTTAACAGACAGGAGACTCAAAACCACTCTTCTGAGAGTGCCCTCTTCAGTTTTTGGGATAGATTTTCTCATAGAAGAAATTCTGAGCCAGCATGTAGAGTTCCCCGTCCTTTTCTCTGACAGCGTGGGCCCTGACGAACTGGAATTGCTCCAGCGCAAACTCATAGAAGTCGTTCTCCATCTTCCAGATGGCTGACTGCTGCAGCTTGGCGATGGATTCCTTAGTGGGTGGCTTTTTCTCACTGGTCCTCCTCAAGTGGGATTTCTTTCCTTCAAGACAAGAAGATACAAGTTAGGTGTCTGTTTGCATAAAAACAAGCCAGTTATGAATTTTTAGGGGTTTTTTGTCGGAGAAGTGGTGATGTGTTAGAAGGTTTAAAAACTTCAGTTAATTTTTTCAGCAACTTTTTCCATATGTTTTCTTTGCTTCTTGGACAGTTTGTGACAAACATCTTGAGTTTTTTTTCAGCCAGTTTTAAAGAAGGAGAAGAATCGTGGAAATAAAAGTCACCGTGTTGACAGATTTTCAGTTCTGGGTAGAAGGTCAAGTCGCTGTAGGTTTGCAGAAATCTTTCAATTTCACAAAATAGGATATTATTTTCTAACCTATCCACCATTAAACCTCTGATTTACCTGATTTATCTCTTTTGTCTCAGAAATGACTGAATTAACTTTTCTAAGAAGTGAAATTCTGAAGGCCTATCACAGTAAAAGGGTCTGAATAAACTATACATTAAAAACTATTCAGTGATTAATGTGGTAAATTATGAAACATTTTCCTTCCACGTCAACATTAAATAACTACCTCGCCATAAAAAGTCAACACACTAATAACTGGTCAGATCAGATTTAGCTGTTGAATATATCAGGGAAAAAAACATGTATTGATGGAATGAACTGGTGACTCAGTAAATATTGATCCCAAAGGGAAATTAAATGTTGTTGTAACTCATATTAACTCAAATTCTTCAAAGAATTATTGTAAATGGCGATGGCTGTCGGCAAGAAAGCGCTCCTGTAGCTGTCTGTGTGACAGTGAATATGAGGAAGCCTCTGAGTGAAGTTCCTTTTAAAGCGATCTCATAAAGATTGTTGGGGTCGTCAGGTTGTAAAATCCTTCTGTGCATCATCATCGTCAAGCTCTGCATCTTTGTTCATTATTTTGACCATTTTTCATCTTCTGCAAATTAAAACTACATTTTTGCTAGCGATATCAGAGACATGTCGTCATACAATAATGTTCATTTTACTCAAACATATACCTATAAAAAGTAAAATCTGAGAATTTTAAATGGTCTCTTATTTATTTTTCATACTCATATCGCCACCTTCCAAAACATCTTTTGGTAAAGAGATGTGGTGATTTTTTTGGATGGAGTCGGGGGAGTGAAGACTTATGCCATTATTAGAGGAAGGTGGCATCATACTATATGTAGTATAGTAACTCCTAACTCTGGAATGAGTTAGGAGTTTCTCCTGCTGCGTCTTAAGAATCTGTCCTTTTGAAGTCTGGCTATTTGATTAAATATTTAAGCACTGAATTTTTCCCTCCAGTTAGATTTTTTATTTTTTTTAAAGCCATGATAGTTGTTTATTCCAGCAAAAGGGGAAGAGACAGCACTAGGATTTAACGACAGAGTAAAACTTGCGCTACCCGTCTTGTACAACTCTGTGGCTCCTCTGAAGAACCGAGGCAACGCGGCCTCCAGCATCATCACAAAGTCCTCCAGCTCCTCGGTGACTCCCACCAGCATGTACTCATTCACCAGGTTGTATTTGGCCTGCTCCAGCGCCCACTGGCTGCCCGCGTTCCTGCACACATCAGGTTTTGTTTGGGCCGACGGGGAGAAAAGCAAGATAACACCATTTCTGTTAAGGTTGCTGCTCACAAGTATAAAAATAAAAATATGCGGTTATAGGAGCAGTGATGGAGGGGAGGGATGGCATATCAGGAGTGAGACGCCACCCAACACATGCGTTGAGAGGGATGGAGCCGAGACCGTGTCGAGAGTCCAGAGGACAAAATGGAGGCTGAGAAAAAAAAACAGCTACTTTTCAGATGTTTCTTAGTTTGTTTTAGCTTTCCATCCCGCTCTGTATAGGAGAGAGTAAAAGATCTCAGAGAGTCACAACAGGAATGAGAGCAAAGCCAAAGGTGAGATGGTTACGTAAATACAGAGATGAGGTCAAAGGTGAAAGTACTGAAAGATCCTGGGAGGAGAGAGCAAAGTACTTTAAGGCCCATTGTGAAGTGGGCCTTATCAGCTCCTGCTTAGAAACTATTTTACAAGCAGAGATAACAAAACGACGCAGAAAAAAAAAAGATGTTTAAAACATTCGTTTTGTTCTTTTTAAAGCAAAGCTGCAGGGAAAAAAAACAACAGAAATGTAAATAAAGTGAAAAATTAGGAAGCATCTTATAGTGGCTGGTAAAAATGCTCAAAGATTGATGCTTATTCTTCAATTAGACAATGTTTTAATTGGTCATTTTACGTATTAATCAACCAAAATGTTTTCTGATTGTGAAAACGCTAGTCACTGAAATATTTATACTAGTACATTTTTGTCTGCATAAAAAGTTGTATTAATTATTCATATATCTACACAGCTGATATCAGAATAATCAAATAAAAATACACTTTCTCCCTGTCTGAAGTTAAATCAGACCAAACTTCTCTCACTTTAGATCAGTCAAAATGACCAAACTTATTTCTATTTGCTAAATGTTGGAAAACATATTGAGAAGATTTTTTTACAGATTTTTTTTTGCTGACTTCCTTTGAATTTAGAAGTTTACCTACATTTAGATACAAACGGTTTAAGTTTGACGCTGATCAAACGCACGTAAACTTCAGAAGTCGACGAAAGCTGCAAAAGTTCTCAATTTAGAAAATGTAAATAATTTTGGTACTTTTGATTGACCTAAAACAAGAGAGGTTTGGTCTGATTTAACTTCAGACAGGGAGAAAAAAAAATGTGTGTGCATTTTTAATTTGCTGTACGTAAACGTCTAGTTTCAGACGGATGTCTTTATTCCTTGAGCACAGTTTTGGTTCCATCCCAAATAAATACACTGCTGACTACAAAAAGCATTATGCAAAATTCACATCAAATACAGTAACATTCACAGTCCACTGGAATAAAGCAAAATGTCAGCGTGTGCCACAGGGTAGAATGTGGAGATTGTTTTGTGGAGTGCGGCTGCTTTCAGGCTTTATTCACCAACTATTACTATTTGAAAACTGACATCATGATACACATTTTGCCTTTGTCTCTTAAAACAACTCACAGTGCGCCCAGACATGTTCAGTAATCCAGACTTCTAAACTCAAATTGCAGGATTTCTTTTCTCCAGTTTGTTTTATAAAAATTTCCCTGCAAAATATTCACCTCAAGCTGCTTATCTACAGAAAACACAAATGAAGAAGCAAATTAATAAAGTGCTGAAACTGTGTTATTTATTTATTTTTTTCATTTTCAGTATTTTGCCATTGCTGCTGCTGGACATGGAGGTCCATCACTCTCTTTGTGATATCTTTTGATTTTCCATGATGTCACACAAAGAAACAGAAAGTTTGAGTCGTTCCCTTGAAAAGTGTTACTGCAGTGAACTTATCCTAAAGCATGTAAACTCCTGAATTTGAAGAAATACACAAAAACTCTTAAAGCGGCAGTATAACATATCAAGCACAATCGACTGACTGTTAACTTCAGTTGTTATTAAAATGTTATATGTATCAAATATGATTTGAAAGAAATTTAACTTTAACGTCTTGAAATTGGGCCTCTGTCTCTTTAAGGAACTCCAGCTCTTTCTGAAACTTGGGCTTCAGAAAGTCATCACAACATGGTTCCTCTATCAATCCTCTAACAATGTTTTTAACCAGCGCTGAACTGACAAGTAGCTTCTATAATGAGCTCAGCAAATGCACAGCTACACCAGAAGTTTGCTAATTGCTGCTGGCTAGTTTGAAGGAGCTGAGGGGGAGACGCTGGAGCAACACTCCAGGAATGTTTATTGATGAGGGAATAACATTATAAAATGATGTAAAGTCCAAAAAAGTTGACTTTAAATAATATGTCCTTTGATATTTCAGCATTTAACAATTAGAGACACAATTGGCAAACCTAACTAACCGAAGCCTTTACTCTGATTTAATGTCAGACAATGAGGAAAAAAGAGCTGGTCTTTTTCAGAGTACAGCTGAATATCTGGTTTCAGCTGTACTAGCCTCAGGTTGAGTTTACTCTAAGAGTTATTAATGTCCAGTATTTCCAATGGAAACGATAACCAAAATGTTTGCTGTCAAAGAGGAATTAGTAGTGAAACTGGAACTCTTACCAGCATTCAGAATAGTGACCACAGAAAAAGGGGATCTGGAGCCAGAGTTTCTCAGGAGCACAGTCTGACCCGCCGGCTGACACGCACTCGTCAAACGTCTGAAACAAATACGCACAAAACGCGTCAGGGGACGACGGCGTGCATCTTTTTAACCCTTTCTTAACTATCTATGTCAAAACATGCATTGAGAGAAACATGACTGAACAGAACAAAAAGTGGAACAGAGAGGAAGCAGGCTTCAGAAGAATGTTGCCATGTTTTTTTTTTGTTGCTTTTTTTGTTTTTACCTTTTTGTCTCCTTGTTTCCTGCGTCTCAGGCCCGGTCTGTAGTCGTCCCCGAACCGCAGGAAGTAGTAATAAGACACCAGCCTCTCGATGGGGTCTCTGATCAGGTTAATGTAGATGGGCTTCCTCTTCACTCCAAACCTGAGGAGGATTTGCTGAGTCAGGCAACCAGACGAGTCTCCACAGTGAAACCATTTTACCACGGGGAACAAAAAATGTAGTTTGTAGTAGAGATATACCGAGATGTCAATATCTGTATCGGTCCAGATACTGAAAAAAGGTATAGATGGTGTATTGTGACAATGTGCCGATATATACAGACAGATCTATTCAGTCTATTTCTATGCTTTGTGCTCAGAGTGAAGTCATGCTGTATTATTTAATTTAAATGTTTAGAATTTCTAATTGACCCATTTGTTGGAGTTTATTTTACATGTCTGATCAACCTGGTCAATCTGTTGTTTTTGTCAGTTTCGTTATCATTTATTTTCTGGCTCTTCTATTCCTAACTGCGCTCACTGAACTGTATCATGGAAGTTGTTTTGTTTTTACATGTTTGTCCAAACTTGTGAAGCCAGCTCAGATTTGTGAAGCAACAGCTGAACCAGAAACGGCTAAAGATTGGACAGTTTGCTCATTGGCTCGAAGTCCATTTTATTTTTAGATGGAAATAAAGTTTCATTCTCTTTAGAAATGAAGATCCCAGAGTCTGAAGGAAACGTGGAGAGGCTCAGGATCCATGTTGCTTTCAGTCCAGTGTGAATATTCCATAATCAGTTGTGTTTTGGGTCACCATGTCATATCCTGGTTCTGGTCCACTGGGATTTCAACGCAGCCGTCTGGCAGGACATTTTAGAGAACTTCATGTTTCCTTCTGCTGACAGGCTTTCTGGAGACGCTGGTTTGATTTTCCAACAAGATTTAGAACATGTCTTTTTCACCAAAACTCAATATGAGCATGTCCTAATCTCTGATTGTTGAATCCACCCGACTCTTTGTGTGTAATGAGTTCATATATTGTTATTGAGTTTCACTCATTAAACTGAACCACTGCAACAACTTTTTGATAATATTCCAAATTATGGGACGAGGACGTCCTCATTCACAGTTTGAAGCTCGGATCCCTAAGTGACCACCAGGGGGAGTTAAAGACCCAAAGGGTCAGCAGGTTGGATTTTCTAGTGTATAAGCAGCCTGCCGTCAAAAACAGAAATGATTTCTTTACTTGGTAAAATCCAGGAAGGAGACGTGTCCGTGGTAAAACGCCGGCTTCATTTCCCTCCATTCTGTCACGTTCTTTACAAACCGCACCTGAACACACCAGAAAATGCTGATTACACCAGAGTCTGTCTGTCTGTCTGTCTGTCTGTCTGTCTGTCTGTCTGTCAATCTGTCTGTCTACCTGGTCCTGTATGGACATGACGGGGTTGTTTTTGGTGGTGTTGATGTGCAGCACATGGTAGTGGTTCTTTCCACACAGGTCGTAGGCGATGTTGGTGAAGGAGGTGCTGGCGGTCTTTGGGACGCGGTTGTAGATGATGACCAAGTCGTCCTCGCTGTCGGTCCGCGCGGCCGCCGCCTGGCGCTCCCTCAGGCCGTCCTGCGTGTGCCGCTGCTCGACCTCCCGCACCTCGTGCCGGGCGATGGCTCGCTCTGCGAGAACGACAGGGAACCTGATGAGACCTGACAGGATTCATCTGAACTCCTCAAACTATTAATTTTAAAAAGAACTCTGCAAGAGTGAAATCAACACTAAAAACCATGAAAACGTTGTGAGAGTTCAGTCAGAACAAAAATGAATGTGCTTATTGTTTTTTCAACGTCATATTTTCACCATTTGATTCATGCATTTACAGTTCCGAGCTAAATATTTGGTTTTCAAATGAAATATTTAGTTAAGAATAAATATTTAATTCCAGGGTAAATTTTTTAAGTCTGACCTAAATATTTAGTTTTCAAACCAGCTCCAAATTAAATGTTTATTTCACTAACTGAATATTTTGTTCCAAACAAAATATTTAATTTGAAAACTAAATGTTGGATATTTAGTTTCCAAACTAAATATCTAGAAAGCTAGCTAAATATTTAGTTATCTAACAAAAATATTTAATTAGCGAGCAGCAGAGTTTATACAGAGGTCCCACACCCAGCTTTTTAGTTTCACACCCGCTTCATGGTGAGCTAAATATTTTAGCTCACCAAAACATTTAGTTGACAAGTTCAGTATTTAGTTCAGAAAATAAATATTTAGATATATAATGAAGATAAATTTTTAACTTTCAAACAAAATATTTAAATTGGGAGTTAAATATTTAGTCCACAAACTAAATATTTATCTCCACATTAAATATTTAGTTTGGAATTCTGACATTTATAAATGTAAGCGTGACACGGTGAAAATATGACCTTGAAAAATGAACAGCCATTTCTCAAATGGGTGCTCACTTCAAATCCATCCATCGTTGCGACGGCTGCAGCAAAACAAATTATTGCTGTTCATTTTTTACTGTGTAACTTTCCCAGCGGCCTGCCATATTCACAATCCTGCACAGTGAGAGTCAAAATATGGCAAAGTCACTGTTTACAAAAGAGAAGCAGCTGGTATTGCTGATTGGAAAGCATTGATCGGCTGATCATCAGTAAGCAGGATGACCTCCATAAAAGCTAATGTGGAGACATTTTGTGGATCTTTTAATAAGGCAAGTGACAAAACAATGTGGAGGAGGAAAGCATCGATCTTAAAAAAAAAAAAATAAGGTCATAAGAAAAAATCCACAAGTCTTATTACAGGTCTTAGAATGTAAAGTTTTGTAACAGTGGAAGAATGTTCCAGTTGGGACAGACGAAAGTTCTCTGGGAAGAAAATAAAGAAATAAAACAAACTCAACCCATAATACCCGCATGGATTAATGAAACCAACATTTGACTACAGAAAACCACATGTGGATGAAACCCAAATTCAGCCCATCAGAACAAACAAGAATGATAAGGTGAGCTCGTTTTGACCTGCAGCATCATGACAAAAAAAAAATCACTTCTGAAACCCAAAGTTTTCTTGGGTCCATCCAGCTGGTTCTGAACCAGGCCACGCAGCAGTGAAAACTGCACAGTGAACCCAAGCAGCAGAACGAAAGGAAAAGTAAAGAAGGACGATGTTACAAAGCTCCAGTGAAAGCCTGAAACTCGGCTGAGCTGAAAAGCTTTGCATGCGACGCATATGCATAAACAAATGCCCAACAAACCAAAGTGGAACTACTTCTACAAACTGAAAGGTGTACGCTGCTTAGATTTAGCTTAATTCTTCCCAAAGAGAACAAGACTGCACATTCAGAGACACATAAAGACTGTTACAAAGTCAGCCTTCTATCACAAGAAGAACATGTACAAAACTAAAGTCCCTGCAAGACCTAGAAAAACTCATCCACGTGTTTGTCTTTTGTTGTATTTTGTCTGAAACAGTGTCTTCACAGGTTTGCCTAAAAAAAAAAAAGAAGAAGAAGAAAAGAAAAATCAATCACAGCTGAAGCTGATCCAGAATTTGACTGTATGAGCTACAAATCTGAGCTTAAGTTTAAATCTGATCCACTCAGTGATGCAGCACTCAGAGACCGTGATCAATAACACAGCTCTGAGAGAGACTAGAGCTGTAACTTCATTACAGGACATAAAGTGAACCAACAATGGATTTTCATTTCATTCAGCATCGTCCCTGTCCGTGCGCAGCAAAGCTAAAACTTGTGCCGTGCGTTGAGATGAGAAATGTCGTCAACGGGGTTTATTAGTTAATCTTTCTACAAACAATTTGTTAAAACTTGATGCACCGCATCCCAGGGATTATGCAGACGGCTCCGTGATCAGTCACATCAAACAATCCAATATTTGGATTTAAAGTGATGTAAAAGGACGAGACGTTGTCTCTTGGGTTTTCCCAGTTTCTCCTCACTTTGCAGCCGTAAGCTTGCTCGGGTTTTAATGCCTTTTTATAATACAGTCCAACAGAACTGCAGAACTCTGAGGTGAAAGGTCATATGGCGTTTAAAATTGACTTCAAATAAAGTCCAGTGTGAGAAATTACTTAAAGAAGTGACTTCATTAGGTATTGTAGCTCAGGAGGGTTGAAAACAAAGCACACTTTTTGGAACTTTATTTGTACAATGGCCCGTCAACGACACGATGCAAAGCTCTACCTGCTCGTCCAGGAAGAGTGAATGCTGAACATCAGAGACCCGGCGCAGTGCGAATTTGATCAATGAGCTAAACTTGACTCAGCCTGATGTTCATTATGACGTGCCTTGAGATGTTTGCTGTGAATTGCCTCGGTATTAATAACACAAACTCAACTGAATAAGTGTTAGAGGTGCAGCCCTGAAGCAGACAGGATTAAGGGCTTGAGGTTGGCCGTCAGACGTAAAGATAACAATTACTTGATAGTGAACTGGACGTTTACAGGACATCAATGCCCTTTAAATTAGGAGCGCAGAGGTTTTACTGGGGTTATTGCCTCCCAAACACTGTGTGAGACTGTGGAGGAGCCAGACTCCGGTGCCTCGGTGTGAATAGACATAACACAAAGAAGGCCTGGCCTTTGACGCCCTCCGGCTTTTCTTTGCCAAAATTTGCCTCCAGATTGACGGCCGCTGACAAAGACAGCGAGTGCTCCGCAGGAAGGATGTAGAGAGAGGAAGTTTGTGTGAGTGTGTGAAGAGGGAAGGCAGCAACATCAGAGCGCCTAATACCCGTGGGAGCTCCAGATGGAGCGCCGATTTGAAGCAGTGCCTTGCGCAAGGGGCACAGACCCGTCCTGGACAGTCCTGCCTAGTTTTTATGAATTAAATTTTATTTGGGGTTCCACTTTTTTCCTTATTGTGAGTATATGTACATAAAGTGCCCCTCCTGAGCTGCATGGCCCCATGCAGCTGTTTACGAGTCGGGATCAGGTTTCACTTGCACTCGCTTGTGTCCACAGGACAACGGACAGAGCGGAGTGGAGACCGGCCAGCTGCTGGTAATGGACGAAGGGTTCGTCAGCATGCATAACAACTGGATTGTAGACATGTGTTCACGTGACGACGGAGCGCTCGCCTCGGCCAACATCAACAGCAGTAACAGTTGCTATGTTGGAACCTTATCGCGTCGGATCAAGTGACATCTTTGGAATATTTTGATCCGGAACAGAGAGGGTACACAGAGTACCGCAGAACCAACGGGCCCTGACAATACAAGTCATCAACGTCACGCGCTTCAGAGTGGCACAGAGTAGCAGGTGCTTGAAGGAACGTAGTCTGCTTTCCACATCTACACAACCTGTAAACATTTTTCACTGTCAGCCATACGAGGAGAATTGGCAAAGGCTTCGGTAAATCCATGCAGTGAGTGCACTATGCATTTCACATAAATTTAAAAATCACTCTAAAAAACAACGAGACACCTAATTCAGAGTATGGTGGTCATATTTTAAAAATCTACTTTTGATCTATTTTGTATTCAAACAGTAAATGAAGACGCACTCTTTGGAGGCTGGTGATTGGAACCAGATGATTTTTAGCTCTGGTGGCCTGGACCGGACAGATAAACTCAAAAATCGGATCCTTTTTTCAGATCAGTGAAGGTTATGTCAATTGTGATAACAACACTCTTCAGTGTTACTGAGTGAAGACTCCAGGTTTGCTGTTTTCAGTATTACTAAGGTGCTAATAATTAAAGTCAGAGGAAGAAGATGGCTGTAAGAACCTTTTTCTTTTCTGTCTTTAAACATGAAAGACTTGGACATGATGTTAGCATAATGCTAACAGCACTAACTGCCTGTATGAAATGCTCTAATCTTGGTTGTAATCATTTTGTCTGTGCTTTGTAACTGAAAGGAATGTAGAAAAAATATTATATATGATCACATGACTACATCTTAAGCCTCAAAGATATGTCAGAATTTGCAAAACCAAGCTTTATCAAGTCCAAGCTATGTTCAGTGTTTTCTTGTATAGTGACACTAGTTTAAAACATGACAAAGCTAATAGCTCTCTGGGAACATTTAGTACAAATGTATCACTTTATGCCTATCAAGCTGTGTTTTCTTCTGGTTTTTTTTGTTTTGTTTTTTTAATCCATTGAACACATTCTACATCTTTGCTACAGCCTGCTCCAAAAAAAAATCCTGTAGTCTTGGCTCTTATCCCAGACCCTTTACCCTATAATGAAGAGAAAGTGTCTAAGCCCAATCCTTCCTCTCTTCTAAAACACTGAGCACAATATACACAAACCATGTTGTCTGTAGGATATATTTAGAGGTAGCTTATGTTTTTCTTCCCACGAAGGTTTGGTTGCCAAGGATTTTCATTTTTCCTATGTATTTTAGTCCCAGAAAACTGCTCAGCTGCTTCCATCCAGAGCTTCGATGTTCAAGACAACAACAGCGTGGTTTACTGACATAAAGTAAACTGGTGGCCCAGTTGTCAACAGAATAACAATTCTGTCTTGCCTGGAACAAAACTTACGTCGTCAAGAGTTTCATTTCACCAGTGCAGCCATTTTTTGCAGGTTACTCCTAAATCAGAAGCTGGCTTGTTAAGTCTCCAAGACGCAGCTTTCAGACAACATTTCTCCTGACTTCCTGCTCCTCACTCATGATTATGAGCTCAAATTACAGCCAGTGACTC